AAGCGACCACAAAAGGGTAGATAACACCCCTCCCTGTGGACACACCCTGGTAGCTCTAAATCCGAATGTCTCCCACTGTAAGAATGTTACGATTCTGCATATCAACGTGCTTCTGATCTAGCCGGGGGTGGATTCACAGAGCGATTCTTAAACGCGCCTTCTATGTCCAAAAAGACCGCTATGGCAATTTCCTTGTTTTCCAAGGACAGTTTGATGCTCGCCACCTTAGTCGAACTGCCAAGGGAGGATCCTGTCCTTTTGAGCATGGATGATCTGAGTACCCCTAAATACCGCTTCAGCTCCAAGCTTAATAATAATAATTAACGTCTTTTATTTGTAATATTCTTACATGAGGCGAGATTTAGATTATATATCTATTCTACCATCTAACCCCCTTAACAATACGAGATGTAAAAAAAAGAATTTGTTGAAGATTAATAGGCACCTGTATACAATAACGAATAATCCAAGTAAATACATAAGGAAAATATGAGGACACTTATGGGTTACAACCGATTTCGCTGCTGATCAAGAAGAACTTCTTTCACTTTTTTCTTGAATTTGGATAATGGGTGGTTTCTTTTAAACTGCGGTCTAAAGAATTATATGATTTGATCGCATTGTAAATGTATGAATTCTGAAATAGAGACGTGCTGTGGCGTGGAATTGAAAAAGTCTCTCTATGTCTAATATTAATACGATGCATATTCCCTCTACGTATGAATTTGTTTACTAAATATGACGGTGTTTTTGAATAAAGAACCTTATGAGTCAGATTTAGGAGCTGGTACTTATACATTTTATCAATTTTCATCCATTTGAGTTCATTAATGGCATTCGATATATGATCATATTTTCTGAGATCATTTACAAGCCTGCAACATGTATTCATAATACTTTGAATACGATTTCTTGTTATAATATCTAAATAGGGATAGTAAGCCACTAAGCAATACGATATCTTTGAAATTACGAAATATTCACACATTGCTTTCTCGCAGATTTATGTATTTGCAAATAAAACTCTGAGAATAGCGTAGCACTGAGTAATTAGATAGTTCACGTGTGCAACAAATTTTAAGTCATCATCCATTATAATACCTAGGTTTTTCGAATGATCCACAGGAATTAATTTATTACCTTTTAAATGTATGTCTATGTCCTTTTTTAATGTATTCTTTTTTGTTCTATTTGCGTATACCAACATATTTGTCTTCAAAGGGTTCAAACGAAGATTATGACTACTACTGAACTTTTCAATTTGGGCAAGATCTTGATTAATTTTATTATTTGCCGTTTCCAAGTCATTACTCCTAAATGAATAGAAAATTTGAGTATCATCTGCAAAAAATTGTATGTTGCAAATCTGAGATATATAATGAAAATAATAGCGGTCCTAAGACTGATTCCTGTGGTACACCAGAACAAATTTTTTGTTCCGTAGAGTGCTGTTGATTTAGACGAACTTTTTGATACCGATTTTCAAGGTAGGTTTAATAAACGAAAGAGGTTTTTCAGAAAATCCATAGTAACTGCATTTAGATACAAGAAGTGAGTGATTAATGGTGTCAAATGCTTTGGTCAAGTCAAGAAGTATGAGAGCTACTGCTTTTTGGTTATCAAGTGCCATTGTTATATTGTCTGTTAAATCACAGAGTGCCGAAGCTGTATTATGACCTTGTCGACATCCAGGATTGTTTAGATGGAATAATTTTGTTAGAATATAAGTAGGCGCAGAGCTGCTCGTAAACAACGCGTTCCAATACTTTAGAGAAAATTGGCAGTAGACTGATCTGTCTCAGTTGACCATAGTTAGTAGGATTAGAACACACACAGGTAGCGGAATAACTATAGCGCGTTTCCACTGATTGAGGAAATATCCCCTCTCTAAACAGCAGTTCATAATATGCGTTAAGTACACATCAATTTCAGGTATACATAGTAGTATCATATGCAAAGTTATTTCATCTGTACCACTAGAATTTGATTTTATTTTATGTATAATTTTAACAACGGTGTCAATAGTCACTTTATTAAATTGAAATTTGAATTTTGAGTTATTTTTATCAGCTCGGTAATATGCAATTTTATCAGCACAAGCCAAATCACTATTCTCGAAAATTGAAATGAATGCCTCATTTATTTTATACGGATCTGACAAGCTCACGGGAATTGTAGAATCTTTCTGAGATTGTACTTTGAAAGTCTTTAGGGTTTTATAAAACTTTTTTATATCCTGATTTTGAACAGCTTGTAAATAATGTCTTTTTCCTCTTCGCACGAGCGTTAATGATGCGGCTGAAGTTCCGAGCGATCACGCTCTGATCGAAACGGTAAAAAGGCAGCAGTGACGAAAATTTGCCATTACCACTTCTACTGACGTAATTTGGGTCCAAATAAACATAAATCGATGCGGTTTTCACGTAGTTCGATTGTATTACGGGCTTTCTATGTACTGTAAGAGTTTTACCTCCCTCCTCCAAAATCTTCCTCAAAGTGAGGAGAAACGCGAAAAAATTGATATTACGTTAAAATAAACCTGGAGAAATGCGGTTTTCACGTCAATTGATTAGAAAAAGCATATTTTGCTTACGCTAAGTTCAAATCCGTGCTCGTTCACAGATACCGCAAATTGACCCCCCTTTAAAACCTAATATTTTAGAAGCTATATAATCATCTATAGCTTTTCAAAACCGCCCAAGACCAAAATGTTTTGGACACTTCTCGCATGAATATGATCTAGTCAATCACACCATATCAGCCGTTTCCCAAACCAAGTCCGGAACCCTCCGTTTTTGACCCCTCTTTATTTATACATGACAAATTTGAAAAAATCTATTATTCGTCAAAACAGTCGAAGACCCAAAATTTTTTTACATTTCTGGCATCAGTATAATCCACTTTATCACTCCCTACTAGCCGTTTCCCCAAACCAAGTCGGGAACCCTCCGTTTTTGACCCCTCTTTATTTATACATGACAAATTTGAAAAAAACTATTATTCGTCAAAACAACCGAAGACCCAAAATATAGAAATAAGGTTATGTTTAAAGTTATCAAAAAGTGTATAAAAGTTGTTAATATTAGAGGCATACAATAGATTTTAGGCTTAGTCAACTAAAATATCCAAAACTACTTACGGTAGATCAACCAAACTTTATATCACTTTGCCACACAAAATAAATGTTAAATATACTAAGTGACATATAAATTCGAACACCCAGTTTAAATGGTTTTATTTTAATAAAAGTTTGTGAATGTATTTATCTCACTGTAAATAACAAGTGAAAAGATTTTCAGCCTTATCAGTTGGACATTCCGGTTTTTATACTGCTTTTTTTAATTCACTAACGCTCTAAAAATGAATATTTCAGCCGCAGTAAAGAATCAACGTTGGCGGATTTTGGTTCTTGACATCCTTTACGATCAGTTACGATGCCTAGAGTATGGAGACCTGTACGATTTCGTCAACTTAGTGAGTTTGATAGGGGCCGTATAGTGGGACTTCGGGAAGCTGGACTTTCTTTTCGGGCAATTGCAGTTAGAGTGCAAAGAAGTGTAGACACTGTGGTTAGGTGTTGTCAGGCATGGCTTCGAGAAGGCCGTACGCAAAGAGCAAGGGGCACTGGACGCCGCCGTAGAACAACAGACCGTGAAGATCGCCGCCTAAGATTATTGGCCTTAAGGGACCGTTTCTCCACTACCAGGTCCATTGCAAATGAATGGTTTGCAGAACACGGAAGACCTATTGGCATGCGAAGTGTTTACCGACGAATGAGAAGTTTTGGCTTGTTTTCATACCGGCCACACTGGGTTTTAACTCGAGAACACCGACGTAATCGCCTTGAGTAGTGCATACAACGGTCACTCTGGGATCAGGAATGGAACAGTATTGTCTTTAGTGACGAGTCTCGATTTTGTTTAGGCATGCACGATGGTCGTGCCAGGGTTAGAAGGCGACGTGGTGAAAGGAGGAATCCACAGTTTTTTGTTGAAAGACATGTTCATCACACTGTTGAAGTTATGGTTTGGGGTGCTATAGCTTATGGTTCCAGGTCACCATTAATCTTCATCAGAGGTAACATGAACGCGCAGCGTTATATCCACGAAGTTCTAGAATCCCATCTTTTACCCTATCTTGACACCCTGGCAGATCCAACTTTCCAACAAGATAATGCCCGACCACATGTTGCAAGAGTCACAATAGACTTCTTTCAACATAATGATGTCACATTGTTACCATGGCCACCAAGATCTCCCGACTTATCCCCAATTGAGCACGTGTGGGATATGATGGGTAGGAGATTGCTCAATTTGCAACGTCCTCCTCAGACTCTAGAAGTACTTCGATAGGAGTTGGTGGTTGCCTGGAATGAGATACCACAGGAGGACATTGACCACCTGATCAGAAGCATGCCTAGGCGCGTTGGAGAATGCGTAGCACATCAGGGTGCATCCACACATTATTAAAGGTCAAAGGACTCTAAAGCAGTGCAATCATTTTGAAATTTTTATCATTTACTTATTATGCTTCATTAAGTACTTATACAAAATTTTATTAAAATAAAACCATTTAAACTGGGTGTTCGGATTTATATGTCACTTAGTATAGGTCGATCCTGTACTTTTTCTGCGGAGATGGAGGAAGACTTGGAAAAGCATATTTTAACACTAGAGTCAATTTTTTTTGGAGTGATTATTCGAGAAGTAAGAAAGGCTGCCTTTGAATTCGCTGAACGCAATGGTCTTAAACATAATTTTAATAAAATCACAAGGATGACTGGAAAAAAATGGTTTTATAGCTTTATGGGTCGCCATCCACAACTTTCCTTGAGACAACCAGAATCCACTTCGATCGCACGGTGTAAAGGTTTTAACAGAAGCAATCTTCAGGAGTTTTTCAATATTTTAGAAAAACTTGTTGACGATTATGCTTTGACTGCTCCCAAAATATAGAATGTCGATGAAACGGGTTTTTCTACCGTACAAAAAAGATGTCAGAAAGTGCTGGCTAAAAAAGGAAAATCCCAGGTTGGTGTCGTAGCTAGCGGCGAAAGAGGTATGAATACTACATTCGTATGCTGCGCAGTTGCTGCAGGTCAATACGTGGCACCAATGGTAATTTTCAAGAGGAAAAGGATCGCGCCAGAGCTGGCAGATAGAGCTCCCCCAGGATCGCTGATCGAAATATCGGATACTGGTTACATTAACGTCGATTTGTTTGTTACTTGGTTAAAACATTTCGTTGCTGCAATTGAACCTTCAAAAGAGGATAGAGTGCTTTTGGTTTTAGATGGACACACCACACATTCGAGAAATTTAGCAGCCATTGAGATGGCCCGCGAGAATGGGGTTATTATTTTACAGCTGCCAGGTCATACCACCCACCGTTTACAACCACTTGATGTGGCAGTATTTAAGCCATTCCAGGTCTATTACGACCAATCGGTTGAAAAATAGTTGAGAGAACATCCCGGGAGAACAATCGGTCAATTTCAGGTGGCCCGATTAATCGGAGAAGGATATGGAAAAGCAGCATGTGTCGCAAATGCCATAAGTGGATTTGAAAATGTGGTATATGGCCTGTGGATAGAAACGTTTTCACAGATGTTGATTTTGAAGGCGGATATGTTCTTCAAACTGAACCAAAACAAAAAGGACTAGCGGAGAGCAAGGACGCTGACGATACACCTGGCGCTTTTAGTTGAAAAACAGAAATCGTGCGCCACCTCTGAAACTGAACCACCCGATGTTTCTTTCGAACACATTCTACCAATTCCAAATAGTCCTGGCAATCAAAAAAATGCAAGTAAACGTGCACAAGCGGCAAAAGTTTTAACTTCAACCCCACATAAGGACGAATTAAAGGCAAAGCAATCTACTATCGAAGAAAAGAAAAAGAGACTGGCAAAAAGAAAAATAGGAATAGCTAATGGCCAACCGGAAAAAAAAGTAAAAAGGAAAAATGCTTCGTATGGTTCAAATGACGTAGTGGTAGAAATAGTAGAGGATGATTGGCTTTGTGTTATATGTAATGAGTGTCGAGTAGAAAATATACTAAGTGACATATAAATCCGAACACCCAGTTTAAATGGTTTTATTTTAATAAAATTTTGTAAGAGTTTCAAAATGATTGCACTGCTTTAAAGCCCTTTGACCTTTAATAATGTGTGAATGCACCCTGATGTGTACCTACGCATTCTCCAACGCGCCTAGGCATGCTTCTGATCAGGTGGTCAATGTCCTCCTGTGGTATCTCATTCCAGGCAGCCACCAACTCCTCTCGAAGTGCTTCTAGAGTCTGAGGAGGACGTTGCAAATTGAGCAATCTCCTACCGATCATATCCCACACGTGCTCAATTGGGGATAAGTCGGGAGATCTTGGTGGCCATGGTAACAATGTGACATCATTATGTTGAAAGAAGTCTATTGTGACTCTTGCAACATGTGGTCGGGCATTATCTTGTTGGAAAGTTGGGTCTGCCAGGGTGTCAAGATAGGGCAAAAGATGGGATTCTAGAACTTCGTGGATATAACGCTGCGCGTTCATGTTACCTCTGATGAAGATTAAAGGTGACCTGGAACCATAACGTATAGCACCCCAAACGATAACTCCAACAGTGTGATGAACATGTCTTTCAACAAAAAACTGTGGATTCCTCCTTTCACCACGTCGCCTTCTAACCCTGGCACGACCATCGTGCATGCCTAAACAAAATCGAGACTCGTCACTAAAGACAATACTGTTCCATTCCTGATCCCAGAGTGACCGTTGTCTGCACCACTCAAGGCGATTACGTCGGTGTTCTCGAGTTAAAGGGGGGACCCAGTGTGGTCGGTATGAAAACAAGCCAAAACTTCTCATTCGTCGGTAAACACTTCGCATGCCAATAGGTCTTCCGTGTTCTGCAAACCATTCATTTGCAATGGACCTGGTAGTGGAGAAACGGTCCCTTAAGGCCAATAATCTTAGGCGGCGATCTTCACGGTCTGTTGTTCTACGGCGGCGTCCAGTGCCCCTTGCTCTTTGCGTACGGCCTTCTCAAAGCCATGCCTGACAACACGTAACCACAGTGTCTACACTTCTTTGCACTCTAACTGCAATTGCCCGAAAAGAAAGTCCAGCTTCTCGAAGTCCCACTATACGGCCCCTATCAAACTCACTAAGTTGACGAAATCGTACAGGTCTCCGTACTCTAGGCATCGTAACCGATCGTAAAGGATGTCAAGAACCAAAATCCGCCAACGTTGATTCTTTACGGCGGCTGAAATATTCATTTTTAGAGCGTTAGTGAATTAAAAAAAGCAGTATAAAAACCGGAATGTCCAACTAATAAGACTTGAAATTTTTTCACTTGTTATTTACAGTAAGATAAATACATTAACCAACTTTTATTAAAATAAAACCATTTAAACTGGGTGTTCGGATTTATATGTCACTTAGTATATGATACAGTGTTCCTTGTACAAGCTTTGTGTCCATGAACTTTGTGCCAGTTATGAAGGAAGTTCTTCGTACTCTTGTGACAGTTGTTCCTAAATAACACATCTAGTTATTATTGTTTGTCCTGTTTCGTTTTTTTTTGTAATACCCATCTACACACGAGCATATTAAAATTTGTATTCTTGTTTAAATACTACTGTTATGCTACCATACTTAAGTGGTACGATATAGCAGATCAGTACGATTTAGGAAACCTAGTGGTACGATTTTGGCATCTGGTTTCCCAAGTCGTACCATTTGCAATGTTTATAAAAAATGTATTTTTCTCTTAAATTAGATAATTAGCCATAACGAAAGAAAGTAGAAATATGTAAAAAACATTTAGTTAAATATTTAAAATAAAAGGAGTCGCTTAATATTGAAAATGTTAGCTTATTATACATTGTTCCGAAAAATGGTACGATTTAGGCGACTTTCTCTTACTGTTACATTTACGTAATGCTCATTGTATTGCATTGCAATTCGATTATGAAGCAGTATGGACAGGATATATTTCATCATTACTAGAATCGATATCCGAGGGCTGATCGGATTCTGAACTTGAACGATAAGAATCTGACATTTCTGGGACCAATACAAACAGGTATACACAAGAAAAAACTAACTAAAATAGTTATCTGGCTTCAATCTTTTCGATTGACACAATCGATTCAAAATTACGACAAAACTAAGAAAGACAAACTCCCCAACATGGTTTAAAAACCATAACCCCAAATCATAAGGCACCCATAACAAAACAAGATCTTGTGCGATCTGCGCTTACTACAAACCAAGATTTCCGCCAAAGAACTGTGTACCGTTTTGATCATCTGAAACCAGTTTTCAAACCAACAAATGGTTTGCTGAAACGGCCCATAATCCCAAATTGCTTGAACATGGTTTCTTCACTGCGCATGATCAGTCGGATTCAAACCAAATTCTAAACCTAACAAAACGCATGTAAATGACGGCAAAAATTGAACGGGCCGTTATTTGAACTATTCCAAGACTATTCTGTTCTTCCAGCATTTTCTAAGCATTGCTTCGTTTCATTGATATCGGACGAGCAGAATATTCAATTTTATTGGCAAAAATGTCTCATAAAGAATGTATTGAATTGAAAGGTTTTACGACGGAATTGTATGATTTTGGAATACTTAAAATTTGGCTAGTTAAATCGTTTGTTAAGCATCAGAGATATTGGATGTTTGCACTGGTGAATACCATCCTACTGAGCGGGGCCGTGGCAAATGTTTGTTCTGGAAGTTGCTCTATCCAGAATACAACTTCTTCCCGTACACTCGTGAAAGAATACCTCAGTACATGTTTCGACACCTAAGCTACGCAGTCAGTTATCTTCCTCACCAAAGAAATTAGTGATGATAGATCCCACCAGTACTAAGAATTTCCTCACTCTCGAAATGTCCAGGTGAAGGGTAGACTCGAGAGAACAACACGAATGATAAAATTTATTTCAGGAACATCTGCGGGATTAAAAGTAACACTCTTGCTGTTCATTACTATCTGCAATCTAACCGTCCCGCCACATCTTTCTTGGCAGAGATAAAAATCTCAGGGTCTGCACCAATTAACCATCTTAGGGCCAATTTCACCAACATTAATATTAAACGGTCCCTTGGACCAATAGGAAAAGATCTTATCGAAATGCAATTTGACGGAAGCTGTCAAAGCTCTCTGAATATCAGTGATTTCTATTGAAATGTTGAATAAAGTCGTGAAAAAACGATTGCCTTATAAATAAGGGTACATTATAGATGTAATACTATGTCTTTGTGCTTTAAAATCAGGATAACTTTCATGGAATTTCGAATTTTTATCATTTCACAAAATTCGGTCAGTTATTTAAATGGACCAATGAAAATGAGAGAAATAATAGGTCGATTTTCTAGCTATTATATTTAGTAGGATGTTTTCACTGTTTTTGAAGACTGTTAATGCATGGCAATCTAGTTTTGTCTGTGTATCACGTACATGGTGTTGTACATAATACGTACCTGTAGAAATGTACCGATTTTTGTTATTTTGCAGAAAAAAGGATATAAAACGTATTCAAACACAATTTTTGCCAATTTATGACCTATTTATGAAAATATATCTCCAAACATTGTTATACTTTCTTCTTATTTCTATTATACTAAGTGACATATAAATCCGAACACCCAGTTTAAATGGTTTTATTTTAATAAAAGTTGGTGAATGTATTTATCTTACTGTAAATAACAAGTCAAAAAATTTTCAGCCTTATCAGTTGGACATTCCGGTTTTTATACTGCTTTTTTATTAATGCACTAACGCTCTAAAAATGAATATTTCAGCCGCAGTAAAGAATCGACGTTGGCGGATTTTGGTTCTTGACATCCTTTACGATAGGTTACGATGCCTAGAGTACGGAGACCTGTACGATTTCGTCAACTTAGTGAGTTTGATAGGGGCCGTATAGTGGGACTTCGGGAAGCTGGACTTTCTTTTCGGGCAATTGCAGTTAGAGTGCAAAGAAGTGTAGACACTGTGGTTAGGTGTTGTCAGGCATGGCTTCGAGAAGGCCGTACGCAAAGAGCAAGGGGCACTGGACGCCGCCGTAGAACAACAGACCGTGAAGATCGCCGCCTAAGATTATTGGCCTTAAGGGACCGTTTCTCCACTACCAGGTCCATGGTTTGCAGAACACGGAAGACCTATTGGCATGCGAAGTGTTTACCGACGAATGAGAAGTTTTGGCTTGTTTTCATACCGGCCACACTGGGTCCTCCCTTTAACTCGAGAACACCGAAGTAATCGCCTTGAGTGGTGCAGACAACGGTCACTCTGGGATCAGGAATGAAACAGTATTGTCTTTAGTCACGAGTCTCGATTTTGTTTAGGCATGCACGATGGTCGTGCCAGGGTTAGAAGGCGACGTGGTGAAAGGAGGAATCCACAGTTTTTTGTTGAAAGACATGTTCATCACACTGTTGGAGTTATGGTTTGGGGTGCTATAGCTTATGGTTCCAGGTCACCTTTAATCTTCATCAGAGGTAACATGAACGCGCAGCGTTATATCCACGAAGTTCTAGAACCCCATCCTTTACCCTATCTTGACACCCTGGCAGATCCAACTTTCGAACAAGATATAATGCCCGACCACATGTTGCAAGAGTCACAATAGACTTCTTTCAATAATGATGTCACATTGCTACCATGGCCACCAAGATCTCCCGACTTATCCCCAATTGAGCACGTGTGGGATATGATGGGTAGGAGATTGCTCAATTTGCAACGTCCTCCTCAGACTCTAGAAGCACTTCGAGAGGAGTTGGTGGTTGCCTGGAATGAGATACCACAGGAGGACATTGACCACCTGATCAGAAGCATGCCTAGGCGCGTTGGAGAATGCGTAGCACATCAGGGTGCATCCACACGTTATTAAAGGTCAAAGGGCTTTAAAGCAGTGCAATCATTTTGAAATGTTTATCATCTACTTATTATGCTTCATTAAGTACTTATACAAAATTTTATTAAAATAAAACCATTTAAACTGGGTGTTCGGATTTATATGTCACTTAGTATATTTTGAGTCTAAAAATACGTGTACTTTTATTTCCACGGGATATTGGGACACCCTGTAATTATAACTTACAGGTTCTTTGCCTATTTTTTATAAATCTCTGTGAACATTTTGGTGTACCTGTAAGACCTGTTTAATCTTGCATGTCAAACAAAATATAAGCATGCCATATTTTATAATTTGAATGCTCTTTTACAAACTTAAGACGCTAACTTTAGTAAGTGATTGCAACTTATTTCTGACATTAGCAGTTAAAAAAGTACATGACGCATTCCTTATTTGATGTCTAAAACCTGAACGGTTATAGAGTCCCGAAACTTACCTCTCTGACATAGGCCTGACCCTGACCGCAACTTTCAACCTTGTCATCCCGCTGTTCTTGGGCACCAATCAACTTTACTTCTCTTCCCTGGTGAAACCCAACTCCGCCTTGTCCGAAGCACTCTCTCCGCTACCCTTATGAGCCCACAACTTCACTTCAAGAGGAATTTTCAAGGAAAACTTTGCATACGCGATTATAAGCAAAATGTAAATAAACAAGTGAAAACCTAGCCCGGCGCATCGGCTGACGCGTCAAGTTGGCTTTGGTTCAGTCGGCGTCGCCGTTCACGACCGAGTGTTGCCTAAATACACCTCGGAGCCGCCTTTCAGACGGCAAGGAGGTCTAAAATTATCATTTGCCACCAGGAGAAGTTGGGATGCAGAGACGACGGTAATTGACGAGTGCCGAAGAAAAAATAAGATGAAAAATTGCGTCAGGAATGTCGAGTCTGCACTTGCCACGCAACGGCGTTATCAGTACAAACTAAAAACTCTAATCAAAAAGTCAGTCAAACAGGTCCATACAGTTTTGATGACATATACATACTACATACTAGATACCTTCTAAAAATCACTGTACGTCGATGTTTCCAAAAATGTTATAAGAAGAGCTTATAAAATACCATCGCCGGATTATATGGCCCGCTAGACTGGTAATTCTGTTGGGAGCTTAGATATTCCGTAGAAAGGGCATTTCCGCAATATTTTCACAAGAATCTGACATTTGTGGCAATTTTGCTGTACCTAATCGAGGCTAATCACAATACAGGGTGTGAATTGAGAGACATATCAAGAAGAAATCAATGACCAGAAGTAATTAAAAGACAAAAAATATAACCCTGAACGATAATCAAAGTGAAAGTGAAGATGAAGTTATTGAAACAACGTGAAATCAACTTAATAGACCAAATTAAAACTCAAAATAAGGAACTAAAAAGAATAATTAAACAAAAAAATGTTTTACTGTTGGAAAAAGAAAAATACATATTACAATTAGAAAAAGAAAACAAAAGGCCACAAGAAGATTACGAACAAAGGACTAATATAACGTATTATATCGAAAATATGGAAGATAGAATTAAAGCTGTTAAATCGAATGGCATAAACCACCGATCATATAGCCACGTAACAGCCAGAACTAAGACATACAACAAACCCCTAAAAACACTATGCGTGAATCCTACTAAAGAACAAACAATACTTGAAACAAAAAAGATTTAAATAAAATTGACCTATCGAAATTGAAAGTACAAGTAGACAACATTAAACACATTAAAAAAGGAGGAATCGAATTGAAACTAGAAGAAAAATACCTCACTACACTGAAAAATGAAATCGAAAAAAAGTTATCAAGAAAATACAATGTTATAGAACAAGAAAATAAACTACCAAGAATCAAAATTGTCGGCTACAGAAGTGAATAACCACCTACTGAAACAAGCCTCAAGGAAAGTATTATTAGACAAAATCACTTCATTCAAGAAAATGATGTCAAAATTACTTATATAAGAAAGAATCACTTAAAAAATTATTATACATTATTTGCAGAATGGAAAAACATATAGATCCGTCACAGATGAAAATAATGGTAAAATATTATTAGATTGGCAGAATTTGAATGTATATGATCATAACCAAATCACACAATGTAACAAATGTTTTAGATTTCATCATACTTAATATACTAAGTGACATATAAATCCGAACACCCAGTTTAAATGATTTTATTTTAATAAAATTTTGTATAAGTATTTAATGAAGCATAATAAGTAAATGAGCACTGCTTTAAAGCCCTTTGCCTTTAATAATGTGTGGATGCACCCTGATGTGCTACGCATTCTCCAACGCGCCTAGACATGCTTCTGATCAGGTGGTCAATGTTCTCCTGGGGTATCTCATTCCAGGCAACCACCAACTCCTCTCGAAGTGCTTCTAGAGTCTGAGGAGGACGTTGCAAATTGAGCAATCTCCTACCCATCATATCCAATGTGACATCATTATGTTGAAAGAAGTCTATTGTGACTCTTGAAACATGTGGTCGGGCATTATTTTGTTGGAAAGATGGATCTGCCAGGGTGTCAAGATAGGGTAAAACATGGGGTTCTAGAACTTCGTGGATATAACGCTGCGCGTTCGTGTTACCTCTGATGAAGATTAAAGGTGACCTGGAACCATAAGCTATAGCACCCCAAACCATAACTCCAACAGTGTGATGAACATGTCTTTCAACAAAAAACTGTGGATTCCTCCTTTCACCACGTCGCCTTCTAACCCTGGCACGGCCATCGTGCATGCCTAAACAAAATCGAGACTCGTCACTAAAGACAGTACTGTTCCATTCCTGATCCCAGAGTGACCGTTGTCTGCACCACTCAAGGCGATTACGTCGGTGTTCTCGAGTTAAAGGGAGGACCCAGTGTGGCCGGTATGAAAACAAGCCAAAACTTCTCATTCGTCGGTAAACACTTCGCATGCCAATAGGTCTTCCGTGTTCTGCAAACCATTCATTTGCAATGGACCTGGTAGTGGAGAAACGGTCCCTTAAGGCCAATAATCTTAGGCGGCGATCTTCACGGTCTGTTGTTGTACGGCGGCGTCCAGTGCCCCTTGCTCTTTGAGTACGGCCTTCTCGAAGCCATGCCTGACAACACCTAACCACAGTGTCTACACTTCTTTGCACTCTAACTGCAATTGCCCGAAAAGAAAGTCCAGCTTCCCGAAGTCCCACTATACGGCCCCTATCAAACTCACTAAGTTGACGAAATCGTACAGGTCTCCGTACTCTAGGCATCGTAACCGATCGTAAAGGATGTCAAGAACCAAAATCCGCCAACGTTGATTCTTTACTGCGGCTGAAATATTCACTTTTAGAGCATTAGTGAACTAAAAAAAAAGCAGTATAAAAACCGAAATGTCCAACTGATAAGGCTCAAAATTTTTTCACTTGTTATTTACAGTAAGATAAATACATTCACCAACTTTTATTAAAATAACACCATTTAAACTGGGTGTTCGGATTTATATGTCACTTAGTATATAAATGTAGAAATAATACGGTGTGCATCAGATGTGGAGGGAATCATGAAAGTCGCCAATGCAACATTGAAGGAAATAAATGTGCAAATTGCATATATTTTAATCAGAAATATAAAAAATTTATAACACGGAGCATGTACCAACAGATCAAAAATGCCCAGTTTATAAGTATATGCAGTCTGAATATCTTGATTCAATCGATTTTTATATTTAAAAAAAAACAAAAATAAATATAAAAGTAAAATAAGTAAAGCTACATTCCCAAAAACATACATTTTTTACAATGGACAATTACATAATTAATTTTGAGATTGACAGAATAAAAATAAATTATATATTTCACATGAGTCAATTAAATGCTTTAATAACCAATGGAAACATACATTTAAAAATTTTCCACATAAACTTGAGAAGTCTTAATCAAAACTTAGACTCACTAAAAGTTTACACTTATTTTTTATCTGATACATTCGATATTTTGATATTAACGGAAACGTGGCAGGTATTCTGCCTTTTATATAGTTTTGTACTAAGTTATGGATCAGTACATAAGGGATATCAATTATACACAATTTAATACCAAAATCCTGAATAATGCTTCAGAGTATAACATTTCAGAAGGAAAACAATTTAGCATATTTCATCAAATTATTAGAAGTATATCAAAGAATTTTGACGAATTAGAAATATACTTAAATTCTTTTAATAAGAAATTCGATGTTATCGTTTTAACTGAAACTTGGAATATTGCAGATGTTAGTTTTTTCAAGATAAATGGTTATAAAGTATTCTACAACAATGCAAATTTTAATGAAAATGAGTCCTAAATTCTACGTCAGACACTATACAGTTCACAGAGTGTACAGGGGTACTCACTAAGATAAACATACATAAAATTGTTATCTCAATAATATCTTCTACAGACCAACCTCAACAATTCTTAGTCGATCTCAAATATTATTTAAAAGGTCATGTTATAAATACAGACTACTGCGTTTTAAATGGAGACTTCAACATAAACATCTTAGACAGTAACAATTTGCTTGTTCATGAATATCTTAACATGTTGTCTATACTAAACTTCACCACATTTTTTTTTTAAATAAACAAGAAAATGATAATTATAAAGCTTTCGTAATAAAATCAGATATTACTGATTACTATAGTACAGTATCAACTCTACCCCTCAACCTTGCAGATTTTGTACATACTAACCCTAATAAATCGAAGTATAAAGAATATATAGACTATGAAAAATTAATAATAGACTTAAAATCTGAAACCTGGAACAACTCATATAATTTAAGAAATGGCCACGCAGCAACTAAATATCTGACTACAACAATCACTGGAAGTATATCAAAAAATACCAAGAAAATTAAAATAAATCGAAAAGACCGTTCAAGAAAAAACTGGGTAACTGCTGGACTAATTAAATCTATCAATGAAAAAAACGAGAAATATAAATTATATAAGACAAATCCAACAGACGAAACAAAACAAAATTATTTGTTCTATAAAACTAAACTCTGTCAATTGATCAACATTTCAAAACAAAAATATTACACAGAAAAACTACAAAACAACAAATCCGACTCTAAAATGCTATGGAATACCATAAATCAGATCTGTAATTCATCCAAACCTGAAACAAAGATATCGCTGATGTATTTAATAATTACTTTATAGAAATAGGGAAAAAAGTAGCAATGAAAATAAATAAACCTAACACAAATGTTCCGCCTAGAAAATGGATACAACAATCGATTTTCTTAGAACCTGTGTCTGAGAATGAAATAAAAAATGCCATACACAGTTTAAAAAATAAAAAAGTCCAGGTCTTGATGGTATACGATCAGAAATATTAAAGACAATTTCATCCGAAATTAGTAAGCCGTTAACGTACATAGCAAACTTGATAATTGAATCGGGAGAATTTCCAGATGATTATAAAGTAGGAGTAGTAAAACCCATCCGCAAATCCGGTGAAAAAACAGATACTAACAATTACAGGCCTTATAACTCTAATATCCAACTTTGCAAAAATTATTGAGAAAATTATAAAAACACAACTTCTAAATTTTTTTGATAAACATAATCTGATTAATGAAAATCAATTTGGATTCCAGAAAAACAGGTCTGCCCAAGACGCAATTTCTTTTTTGACATCAAAATTATACAAATTACTGGACCAAAGTGTATATTATGTGTGTGTTTTTAGATCTAGCCAAAGCATTCGACACAGTAGACC